CCATGGCACACCTTACACTATGTCACAGCACACTAGTGTGCCACGGCACAGTGGTTGAAAAACACTGCCCTAGAAGACTGAATCCTCCATATTTACTTGCCTGAGTAGCCCTAAAGCCAGTCTGAGCAGTCTCATCATAGGGCAAGTGAATGTTAAGAGCAGGAACATCTAAATAATAGCATTCCTGTTATTGTACAAAAAGGCCTAGGTTCATCTGGTGCCATCTTTATTATTCTTTTGTTGACAACTTATATGCTATCTTCTAATTAAACTATATCTTATATGCAGTATTTTTGGCAGCTTGAAGTCCACATATCTTCTGCTTAAATGTGCCAGATGTCTCAGATTATAACCTACAATCTCCATCACTCGATGATCAGAAGGCTCTCTCCAACTTTAGATATACAGTAGGATTTTGGTGAGATATAAAAGAACTGAAAATAGGAGACTTTTTCTCCAAAAATTGTAATCATAATTATCTAGCCAAACTTACCATCTTTCCACCCTCACCTCCCTTTTAAAAACAGACTCACTTTTCTCTGTTAAAAATGACAAAATCTTGCTGAATTGCTTCAAGGCATTCCTGCAAGTAATCATTTTCCTATAAAAAGAGAAAGATTACATTATACTTTCTTATATAATTGCCGTGAATTAAAAACAGACCGAAAATCAATAACAACACCCATCTTTATGTCGCTCAGAATTGTGACACTGTATGCTTTTCTTTTTCCCTATTAGTCAGTTATTCTGGAACCTTATTTTGCTTAATAAAGTCTGATATGATACAATCATTAACACGTCAGGCACTAAATTAGGAGACGAATTAAAAGCCATGTTCAGTCATAGCTCGTTAGGTAGAAGTAAGCCAGTAGCCATCCATCCACCTACCCTCTTTGTCAGGTGGAAGCAACCAGAAAAACTCTGAGATTTTGTCAAATAGATTTCTTTATTGCTGATCTCCAGTTTACAAAAATCTCACCAAACTGTCCGTTTTCCCTTAAAAACAACAGATACAGACCTACAAGGTTGACCTCAAATGCTTCCTCCCCCAAATGGTCTCTAAGCCGGAATGTCTTTTGACCACCACCACCACCCCTAAAATTGGGGCTTCCAAGAGGAGATGACCAGCATGAGCCTAAGGGAGGAGCTAAGAATATCCATAAGAGACCCAAGTCCACCTTGAATTACATTGATTCTTATCTACCACCAATTTTCTTTGACTGTTAGTAGTTCAGATTCTTGTAGAGAGTTTTAGCATGCAATAAACCTATTTGAACCCCCACCTGACTTTTGATTTCCTGCATTTGACACTTTCTCTATATCAGCTTGTGGTTTCTATGATTTCTACTCTGAGCTTCATGGATTTAGAATGAGGCCAATTCAAATATAATAATGTGCAAAGTTTATATGTCACACATAAAAAAGATGGAGATGCAGATGACCTACAAAGAGGTGACATTTTAGGCAGCATCTCCTTCAAAAGGCGTTTGGCCATCTTGTGAACTCCAACATAGAGAGGATGCTTCATGCACTCCACTCCAAGAGATGGAGGAGTTGAAAAGTAGGCTCAGGCCTTTTTACGAATGGCTCTTCCCCGTCTGAGTTTTGGGCAATCCGCACGTTGCGTTGTTTAAACAAGGTGTCTAAAATAGTATTATTTTGCTGGACTGCTGGAGCTTTAGTGATGTACATTGCACAATTTTCTTCATTGTTCTGGAGGGAGCTGTTCTGGTTGTATGGTTTATTTTATGGTATATTTAACTGTTGTTTTATGGGACTGATTATGGGGGAAGGCTGATATGAATGTTGTCTAACTGTGATTGAACATGAATACTGTAACCAACCAACCAACCGATCCCTGGCAATAAGAGAGAAGCTAAAAACAACAATGAGAGTAGGCCGACTAGGATTGTGTGTGGCATTTCAGATCTACTCTACAAAAGATCTTTCAGAACCTGAAGAAGTTGAACTCCACTATCCTTCTACTCTGCCTTGAAGGAACTCCTCAGCCTGTGGCCTGCGGGAACTGAAGGTGGCAAAAACTGGTAGAATCCAGGTGTCAAGACCTGCCCCAGCTGTTCCCTCAAGAAAGTAAGACTCTTGAATCTAATAAGTTGAACCACAAGGACTTTTACTGAGAGAGAGCGACTGAAGGGAAGCAAGGCAAAATCTGATTTCCTTCCGTTTCCCCAAGCCCAACTCCCCTGACCAGCCCACCAGCATCCAATGTGATGTTACGAGGTTGTTTTGAGAACAGTGAGGTGCTAGGCAGATAACAATTCAATCTCAGGCCATGATGGCCTTGAAACCAGGCCGGAATCGGCTGGGAGGGAGTCCACTCGTCTCCAAAGATGATTCCCCCTTCCCTAATTCCCAAGCAGTTATAGCAAAAGCAAAAGCATGTGAAAATGCCAGGAAGCCCCCCCCCCCCCCCCCACTTCCAACAGAATGGCAGGACACAATGGTGGGCCTGACACCAGGCAAAAGAAACAAGGATCCCAGGATACAGCTATTTTATGAAGTTGCAAACAGGCTACAAATGTGCTCCTGAACATTATGAAGCACTTTTTGAAATTAAATCCACTGTGCCGCATAGCCTTAGTACTGAATAGGGACATCAGAACTGGTACAGCTATTATCTGCTTTATTTTTTGCTTCACAAAATGGATTTCCAGTTTAGCTGATTTGAGACTCTTTTTTTTAATGGAACAGCTGGACATAAATTTGCTAATTTGTTTAGAAATACAGCAGGAGGGATTATTTACTTTCAAAAAGTGAATTATTGCCATGGAAAGAGAAAAAGCTCTACGTTCTTAAAAGCCAGTCAGATTTAACTGAAGCTAGATGACTGACAATCTAACATCGTTTTTTTTGCTAGCTTTCAGCCTGTAATGAATTTACTGGGATTAAAAGACTGAATACACTCTTGGCAACATCCACGGAAGGTTCTTTTACACCTCTTAATACTAAGAACAGGTGTTTCTGAAAAGCATTGAAAGTGAGAATTCTGATTAGTTTTGACCTAATTCCAATTAGAATACGCTGCCTGGCAAACCTGATCATTACAACAGGATGCTATCCATATGCCACTGCTCATATACACTCTTCCTTCCAACCAACATCTGCTAGATTTTGTCTACCTCTGACGTCAAAAAAATAGCATCTCTTTCATTTTTTTTTAGCATTGTTTCCTCTAATCAACCATCACGAACAAAAAGTGATGGACAGATCAGTCAGTTTCTAGAAATGGTTGGTCTTTTCACAGTTGCCCTCATTACTGCTTTTGATCCGTTTTCATTCTTAAGAAGTACAGACAAAATTTGCACCCATGATTCAAATATTTTCAGTCAGAATGATTGTTTCGTTACATGGCTCTGAGTTCTTTCATTAAATGGTATGGGTGCTGTCGGTGTTCAAGAAAAATAACAAGAAAAGCAACAGTGGTGTCACTTAGGAGCAGCAATTGGTAAGAGCTTGGTCCTTTTCCATAATAAAACTGTGTTAGCTTGACGGACCAACATGATAGAATAAAATAACAGCCCTTCAAAGTAGCCCAGATAAGAAGGACAACAATGAAGATTAGCTCCGTCTTTATCGTAAGGTTACCTTAACAGAATCTTGCCAGCCTGAAAGCATTTCTCCCCTCCTTTCTGTTAGTCTCCGAAAAATTAGGGAGACTCTCCTTTGAAACAGCGTTTTTCCAGTGAAACGGGCCTATCAGGGCAACCTGGTTTACGCAAATATGGGATGGAGCATACAGCTTCCTTCCTTCCAGTCCCAATCCAGGAGCCCTCGCAGGCAGCCGCTTTCACAACAAACTATTTTTGTGTCCAATTTATATTTTACCAACAAAGAAATAAAGGAAGACCAGTATAGATCCATTTCAAGCTATCTAGCTCTCGTCAGCTAGCCATATCCTTTCTGGGATTTAAACCCAGGCTACTTGCATATTAGGTAGATGTATTAACCTCTAAGTCATGGGCTCTTCTTGCTTTGTCAGCTATACCAGGGGAAAGATTAAGTGTTTTTCTGGAAGCAATATGCTCCATTACATATTTGGGTAGACCAGGTTGCCCTGATAGAAAAGTTTCACCCAAAAAAACACTTAATTTCTCCCCCTGGTGTAGTTGACAAAGTGAGGAGAGCCCGTGGCTTAGAGGTTAATACATCTACCCAGGGGTGGACTTCAACAATTTTAGCAAGGGGAGAGGGAGGAGCCAATGTCGCGACGGAACATCGTGCAGACTCGACAGTCCGAGTCCGCCGATGACACTTTTGCCCTTGGACGGTCCGGCAGGACCTAAACCATCCCGAAGACACGGTGACTGGGAAGACAAAACCTTGCTGGTCGCAGGGACACCACAAAGTCCCTGATCGACCCAAGGGTAGCGCTTCTAACTGGCGGCAAACAGGCAGCCCCCAGGCTGACATAGTCGGAGTTGAGATTCTAGCAGCTTCAGCCTCACCTAATTGGAGGAGCATAATGTAGGCGAGTGTGAGGAGGAGGAGGAGGAGGAGGAGGAGGAGACTTAGAGTGGTGCTGAAGAGGCAAACTCTTCCTGAGACAACTTTGCTTTAAGGGAGATCCCCCGTGTCTCTTTCTCTGCTGGTTAAGCAGCACTAAAGAAGAACAAAATAAGAAGAGACTTCTGTGCTGGTACAGGTAGTCCTCGACTTACAACAGTTCACTTAGTGACCTTTGAAGTTACAACCTCCTGACCGTTTTCCACACTTATGACCACTGCAGCAGCCTCATGGTCACGTGAGACCAAGATGCGGATGCTTGGCAACAGGTTCATATTTATGATGTTTTCGGTGTGTCCTGTGGCCACGTGATCTCCTCCTGACAAGCAAAGGCAATGGGGAAGCCAGACTCACTTCGCAGCTGCAATGATTCACTTAACAACCGTGGCAAGAAAAGCAGTAAAATGGGGCAAAACTCACTTAGCAGATGTCTCACTTAGCAACGTAAACTTAGGGCTCCATTATGGTCATAAATCGAGGACTACCTGTATTGTAGTGACTCCCCCCCCTGCACTGAGAAGTGAAGGATCCCTGTTGTTGCTTTGTGGAGCAACTCAAGGAAGGAGACTTCAGCAAGGGTTGAAATGATGCCTCCCAATTTGGCCAAGAGCCCAGCAGGGTTACTGCAGAGCCCCATCAGAGACACTTGAAAGCGAAGCGCCTGCGACCGGAGGACCCTCAAAAAGGTCTCCGGGTTCTGTCTGGCGGCTGCCAAAGGGGACACTTACGGACTGCGATCCGTCCTTGCTGTTGTCCCTGGATTTGTTCTTGGCCAGCCTCTTCTTCTTCTTGTGCAGCGGCCGCGACTCCAGAATCATCTCCTCCAGCTCAAAAGTGGGGTCGCAGTGCAGGCGGCCCTTCTGTGGAAAACCAGACAGAGAGGAGGCTGCCGTGGGAATAGCAAACGGGAAAGGAAAGCAATATTCTCAGCCCAAATTCCTTAGCCATGGGTGTGTGTGTGTGTGTGTACATGTGTGTGTGTGGGGGGGATGGAATACAACCCTTGGCTTTATATTACTGCCTCCTTCATGAGTCGCAGAGACCCACAATTCAAACCAACATACTCATCACTTCGACTCACGTTGGGAACGAAGCCAGGCTCTACTTTCTTCTCCCAAATTTCTTCCCAGTCCACATTAGAGAAGTAGGAGGAAGTCCGGATGTTGGCTAGACTGGAAAAACGATGCTCAGGATTGACTGTCAAAAGCTGAGAATGGAAATCAGAAGGGCAACATTTATTTAGGGCGAAACCGGGCAGCTGGGGGAAACAACATCTGAGCTGTTTTACAGATACCGTGTCTCCCCGAAAACAAGACAGGGTCTCATTTTCTTTTGAACCCCCCCCCCAAAAAAATAAGCACTTGGCCTTGTTTTCGGGGAGAAACGGGATCTGTAAAACAGCTCAGATGTTGTTTCCCCCAGCTGCCCGGTTTCGCCCTAAATAAATGTTGCCCTTCTGATTTCCATTCTCAGCTTTTGACAGTCAATCCTGAGCATCGTTTTTCCAGTCTAGCCAACATCCGGACTTCCTCCTACTTCTCTAATGTGGACTGGGAAGAA